CTCACACACACCCACGTCCCCACCCTCTCTCCCCACCCTCTCGCCCCCCACCCCACTCCCCTCGGCTCCCGACTCCAACCCTACCCGCCCCCTCGCTTGCCCAGTCACCCAAATGAGCCGCCGGCATCAGCCCTGGAAGAACGGCAGTCAACTGCGACACTGGACTTACACAGAGACCCATAGACTTACACAGAGACCCATAGACTCACACAGAGACCCATAGACTTACACAGAGACCCATAGACTCACACACAGACCTATAGACTCACACAGAGAACCATAGACTTACACAGAGACCCATAGACTTACACAGAGACCCATAGACTCACACAGAGACCCATAGACGCACATAGAGACCCATAGACTTACACAGAGACCCATAGACTTACACAGAGACCCATAGACTTACACAGAGACCCATAGACTTACACAGAGACCCATAGACTTACATAGAGACCCATAGACTTACACAGAGACCCATAGACTTACAGAGACCCATAGATTTACACAGAGACCCATAGACTCACACAGAAACCCGTAGACTCACACAGAGACCCATAGACTCACACAGAGACCCATAGACTCACACAGAGACCCATAGACTTACACAGAGACCCATAGACTTACACAGAGACCCATAGACTCACACAGAGACCCATAGACTCACACAGAGAACCATCGACTCACACAGAGAACCATAGACTTACACAGAGACCCATAGACTTACACAGAGACCCATAGACTTACACAGACCCATAGACTTACATAGAGACCCACTGACTTACACAGAGACCCATAGACTTACACAAAGACCCATAGACTTACACAGAGACCCATAGACTTACACAGAGACCCATAGACTTACACAGAGACCCATAGACTTACACAGAGACCCATAGACTTACACAGAGACCCATAGACTTACACAGAGACCCATAGACTTACACAAAAACCCATATACTTACACAGAGACCCATAGACTTACATAGAGACCCATAGACTTACACAGAGACCCATAGACTTACATAGAGACCCATAGACTTACACAGAGACCCATATACTTACACAGAGACCCATAGACTCACACAGAGAACCTTAGACTCACACAGAGACCCATAGACTTACACAGAGACCCATAGACTTACACAGAGACCCATAGACTTACACAGAGACCCATAGACTCACACATAGATCCATAGACTCACACAGAGACCCATAGACTCACACAGAGACCCATAGACTCACACAGAGACACGTAGATTCACACAGAGACCCATAGACTTACACAGACCCATAGACTTAGACAGAGACCCATAGACTTACACAGAGACCCATAGACTTACACAAAGACCCATAGACTTACACAGAGACCCATAGACTTACACAGAGACCCATAGACTTACACAGATACCCATAGACTTACACAGAGACCCATAGACTTACACAGAGACCCATAGACTCACACAGAGACCCATAGACTTACACAGAGACCCATAGGCTTACATAGACACCCATAGGCTTACATAGACACCCATAGACTTACATAGAGACCCATAAACTTACACAGAGACCCATAAACTTACACAGAGACCCATAGACTTACACAGAGACCCATAGACTCACACAGAGACCCATAGACTTACATAGAGACCCATAGACTTACACAGAGACCCATAGACTTACACAGAGACCCATAGGCTTACATAGACACCCATAGACTTACATAGACACCCATAGACTTACATAGAGACCCATAGACTTACACAGAGACCCATAGACCTACACAGAGACCCATAGACTTACATAGAGACCCATAGACTTACACAGAGACCCATAGACTTACACAGAGACCCATAGACTTACATAGAGACCCATAGACTTACACAGAGACCCATAGACTTACACAGAGACCCATAGACTTACATAGAGACCCATAGACTTACACAGAGACCCATGGATTTACACAGAGACCCATAGACTTACATAGACACCCAGAGACTTACACAGGACCCAAAGACCCATAGACTTACACAGAGACCCATAGACTTACACAGAGACCCATAGACTTACATAGAGACCCATAGACTTACACAGAGACCCATAGACTTACACAGAGACCCACAGGCTCACACATAGACCCACCGACTTCTAACCATACCTTCACTTAGCACCGAGACCAAAGATGTACAACACAGACCCGTAGACTGACAGACATCACCGCAGCTATGAAGTGGACAGGCGTTGCAACTCTATTAACCGGCTAAAGACGCCGGTTCATGAGGATGAGGGGGGGAGGGGGCGGGGTGGAGAGGGCATTTAATCCCCAACACCAGGGACCGTGGCACGCCGACTTTGTCGGTCTGAAATAGTTAATGTTATTCCTGCATGTCTGCTGATCATCATGTAATGCGTGGGTGTGTCTGTAATACACACACACACACGTGTGTGAGTATATGCGCACACGTGTGTGTGAGTGTATGCACAAACACGGCGATCCGAGTTCGATTCCCGCTCACGGCCAACACCGGTGACGATTATTTGAACCGGTCCTGGGCCTCCCCTAGGTCGACTCAGCCTGCAATGAGTATCTGGCGCGATGTGTAAACACCGCTACTGGGAAGACAAATGCGGTCTGGCGTGGTACTGGCCACCCACCCCCTCGTGTGCCGTTCGGGCCTTCATAGGTGCTTGCTAACAGCACTTGTCCCAACAGTCTGTTAAGGCTATACAGGGGATCTTTGTCTTTGCACACGTGTTTTCCTGCATTTTTTAAACCGCCCAAGCTCGCAATCGGAAGGTTGCAAGTTCAAATCCTAGTCCCTCAACCCATCATCCCTCCGGGTCGAGAAAGCGAGTATCATATTTTTTACGATGTATCCTTGTCCCCGACAGAGGAATGTGGACATTTCCATGACTAGCTCAGGGATGCAAACTGTGAGTTTGTGAATGTCGAGATAAATCAAAACAAGGACAAGATTGTTATTACATCATAAACATTGGTGACGTAACACAAATACAAAGATTCCCCGTATAGCCTTTAACAGACTGTTGGGGCAAGTGCTGTAAGCGGGCATCTATGAAGGCCGGCACGGCACACGAGGAGGTGGGTGACCAGGACCACTACCGTCCGCTTTCGTCTCCCTAGTGGCGATGTTTACACACTGCACCAGGTAGTAATTTGAGGCCGAGTCGACCTAGGCGAGGCCCAGGACCGGTTCAGATAATCGTCACCGGTGTTGGCCGTGAGCGAACTCGGGTCGAACTCGAGTCGCCGGGTTCGTCGCGCAGCGCGCTAACCACTGCGCCACCGCTCCCCCCATAGTACCCACACATGTTCAGATGCTCAGCTACACACGCACAACCCACGCACCGATACAAACAACAAAGATCCCCCGTATAGCCTCCATAGACTCGTGGAGCAAGTGCTGTTAGCGAGCACCTATTAACACCGGCACGGCCCACTCCGCCTGGCCGCCTTTGTCTTCCCAGTTGTGATGTCGTATGCGTCTCGCGTCAGCTACTCGATCTGGACAGACGAGCTATGCGTGGCCCGAGACCGGTTCAGACATCGCGCGCCACTGATGTGAGCCGTGAGCGGGAATCGACCGTCTCTGGCCGTCGACCCACCACGCAAATAAACACACGCGCACTCTTGCATGCAAAGATAAAGATCCCCCATGTAGACTTAACAGGCTGTTGGGGCAAGTGCTGTAAGCGAGCACCTATGAAGGCCGGCACGGTACACGAGGCGGGTCGTGTGGCCAGCACCACGCCCGACCGCCTTTGTCTCCCCAGTGGCGATGTTTGTACACACCGCACCAGGTACTCATTCGAGACGCATACACACCCACGGGTATGCACACACACGCACACATCCACACAGTCACACACACACATCCACACAGTCACACACACACATCCACACAGTCACACACACACATCCACACAGTCACACACACACATTCACACAGTCACACACGCACACACATACGCACACAGTCACACACGCACACACATACGCACACATCCACACAGTCACACACACACATCCACACAGTCACACACACACATCCACACAGTCTCACACGCACACATTCACACAGTCACACACACATACATCCACACAGTCTCACACACACACGCACGCGCAACAACCATCACCCGTCAATCACCGATAAGTCGCGGTGACGTCACAATGGTTTGTGCCAGGCTAGGTGCACTTTGATGCAGCGCGGAGTGGCGCATGAATTGACGACTGTTTCAGAAGACTCTCGAAATGAGATTCAGGAATTTATGCGAACACACAAAGACAAAGGCCTCACGTATAGCCTACACATGCTGTTGGGGCAAGTGCTATGAACGAAAACCTTTGAAAACCGGCACATGGGGCCATACCCACACACACATACACACACATACACACATACACACACATACCCACACACGCATCTTTTGTACATTAAATGCACACCTTTGTTAAACACAAAGAAAACAATCCCCCTCCCGGTATAGCTTCAACGGACTTTTGGGGCAAGTGCTGAGAGCCAGCACCTACACACCCACAAACACCTACACCACCCCCCACCCACACCAAACACCCCCTACCCACACCCGCCAAACACACCCCCCCCCACACACTACACACACACCTCCACACACCCCCCCCCCCCACACACACCACACACCCACACACCTACACACACACCTCCGCACACACACACATCCACACATACCCACACACACACCTCCCCACACACACACGTACACACACCCCCACCCCACCCCCACACACCCACACAAAGACAAAGATCCCCCATATAGCCTTAACAGATTGTAGAGGCAAGTGCTGTTAGCGAGCACCTCCACACACACAACCCCACACACACCCCACACACATACCTCCACACACACACACACCTCCACACCCCCCCCACACACCCACACACACCTCCACACACACACACCTCCATACACACCCAGACCACACCCAGGACTCTCACCTGTATCATGAGCTTGGCTGGGCAGGGCTAGTAGAGGATGGATGAGAGGAGTTCTCTCCACCTCCTCGCGGCTGGATTATCACCGGGTCCTCCTCCTCCTTTCCACCTCTCCACCTCCACCTCCTCCTCCCCACGTCACTCGCTCCTCGCTCCGCGGGATGAGTGTGTTGGATCGTATCGGAGTTAATATCGCACTCCCTTGCCGCGCGCGCGTGTCTCCGTGTGCGTTCACGTGTGTTCGCGTGCGTTCACGTGTGTGCATTCGTCATGTGTTTACGTTATGTGCGCGTGCGTTGTGTGCGCGCGCGCTCACTGTTCACACGCGTGTGTGTGTCCGCACGTACGTGCGCACACACATTCATGTGTTCACACGCGCGCGTTCCATCCGTACGAGTTAACGGATGTGTAACGTCGTGCGTGTCCGTGTGTGCTTGTGCGTGTATGTGCGTGCGTGTGTGCGCACTCGCTTCTAAACACACCGCTCTTCGCGTTCCTCGGATAGGAAGAGTGAAGAGAGACAGAGAGAGAGGAGAGAGAACGTGAGACGAGTGAGTGAGAGAGACAGGGATAGCGAGACAGTCCCCACTCTCTCCTGCCTCTGTGTCTCTGCCCGGCATTGGTTCGCTGAGCAGTGGGGGGCTGGGTGGGTTAGGAGGGAGGGAGGGAGCGGCTGGGGAGGGGCTCGGGGGGTGGGGGCCAGAGGGGAGGGTGCTGGGCGGCGGTGTTGATGTGGAGGGGGGAGGGGGGTGGAAGAAGGGAGGGGAGAGGGAGGAGACGGGGGAGGGGAATGGGGGGGGTAGAGGGAGTAGGGGGGTGTTGATGTGGAGGGGGGAAGGGGGATGGAAGAAGGGAGGGGAGAGGGAGGAGACGGGGAGGGAATGGGGGGGGGGGTAGAGGGAGTAGGGGGGTGTTGATGTGGAGGAGGAGGGGGGAGGGATGGAAGAAGGGAGGGGAGAGGGAGGAGACGGGGGAGGGGAGTGGGGGGGGGTTCGAGGGCGGAGGGGGGGTAGAGGGAGTGGGCGGTAGCCCTCTCACGTGACTGGGCGTGAGCGCAGGGTGGGGCTGTGGGTGGAGTTGTGTGGGGAACAGAAGATGACCCCAGTGGGTGGGGGGGGGACGCAGGGGGTGGTGGTGGGTGGATGAGGAGCGGTGGCGCAGCGATTAGCGCGCTGCGCTAAGACCACAGAGAGATGTAACGGGTCCTGTGGCCACACGATCCCCTCGCTCGCCTCCTCCTTGTTGATAGTCGCTCGCTCACGACACAAGCTCCCCTCCCCCCCCCCCTAACGGGAGGACCTCAGTTGGACTCCCGGTTGACGTTGTTGTTGGGCTTTGGGTTTTTTTTTTGCCGAGGTCGACTCAGCCTCAAATGACAACCTGATGTCGTGTGCCGAGCATCACCGGTCGGGCCTCAGAGTGCACCTAGCCTGGCACAAACAGTGGTGACGTCAGCGTCACTCCGCTGTTGTCTTCGTGTCAGAGGCGCTACGTCCACTGGACAGGTGTCGACTGGACATCTGTGGCAAAGAGCTTTAACGCTCATCGGATTCCTCCTCCAGGATGAACACAGATTGTGATTCTGCGTGTTTGTGTGTGACACTGTGTGTGTGTGACACTGTGTGTGTGAGACACTGTGTGTGTGTGACACTGTGTGTGTGAGACACTGTGTGTGTGTGAGACACTGTGTGTGTGAGACATTGTGTGTGTGTGACACTGTGTGTGTGTGACACTGTGTGTGTGAGACACTGTGTGTGTGTGAGACACTGTGTGTGTGAGACATTGTGTGTGTGTGTGACACTGTGTGTGCGTGTGTGTGTGTGAGACACTGTGTGTGTGTGACACTGTGTGTATGTGTGACACTGTGTGTGTGTGTGAGACACTGTGTGTGTGAGACATTGTGTGTGTGTGTGACACTGTGTGTGCGTGTGTGTGTGTGAGACACTGTGTGTGTGAGACACTGTGTGTGCGTGTGTGTGTGACACTGTGTGTGTGTGAGACACTGTGTGTGTGTGAGACACTGTGTGTGTGAGACATTGTGTGTGTGTGACACTGTGTGTGCGTGTGTGTGTGTGAGACACTGTGTGTGTGTGACACTGTGTGTGTGTGTGAGACACTGTGTGTGCGTGTGTGTGTGAGACACTGTGTGTGTGTGTGAGACACTGTGTGTGTGTGTGACACTGTGTGTGTGTGTGTGAGACATTGTGTGTGTGACACTGTGTGTGCGTGTGTGTGTGACACTGTGTGTGTGTGTGAGACACTGTGTGTGTGTGAGACACTGTGTGTGCGTGTGTGAGACACTGTGTGTGTGTGTGACACTGTGTGTGTGACACTGTGTGTGTGTGTGAGACATTGTGTGTGTGTGTGAAACTGTGTGTGTGAGACACTGTGTGTGTGTGAGAGACACTGTGTGTGCGTGTGTGTGTGAGACACTGTGTGTGCGTGTGACACTGTGTGTGTGTGACACTGTGTGTGTGAGACATTGTGTGTGTGTGACACTGTGTGTGTGAGACACTGTGTGTGTGTGTGAGACATTGTGTGAGACATTGTGTGTGTGTGAGACACTGTGTGTATGTGAGACACTGTGTGTGTGTGTGAGACACTGTGTGTGTGTGTGTGAGACACTGTGTGTGCGTGTGTGTGTGGCAATGATTGTGCGTGTGTGTGTGGCAATGATTGTGTATGCATGTGTAAAGACGTTGAAGTGAATGTGTCTGTGCGTGACAGAGGTCGACTCAGCCGCAAATGACTACCTGGTGCGATGTGTAAACATCGCCGCTAGGGAGACAAAGGCGGTCGGGCGTGGTGCTGGCCACCCACCCCCTCGTGTGCCGTTCCGGCCTTCATAGCTGCTGCTCGCTAACAGAACTTGCCCCTACAGTCTGTTAAGGCTGTACGGAGGATCCTTTAGTGTGAGACGCTGGGTGTGTGGGTGAGACACTGTGTTGGGTGTGTTGGTGTGTGGGTGAGACACTGTGTTGGGTGTGTGGGTGTGTGTGTGAGACACTGTGTGTGTGTGAGACACCGTGTGGGTGTGTGTGGGTGTGTGTGTGAGACACTGTGTGTGTAGGTGTGTGTGGGTGTGTGTGTGTGAGACACTGTGTGTGTGTGTGAGACACTGTGTGGGTGTGTGTGCGAGACACTGTGTGTGTAGGTGTGTGTGGGTGTGTGTGTGTGAGACACTGTGTGTGTGTGGGTGAGTGTGGGTGTGTGTGTGAGACACTGGGGGTGTGTGTGGGTGTGTGGGTGTGTGTGAGACACTGGGTGTGTGTGTGTGTGAGACACTGCGTGTGTGTGGGTGTGTATGTGTGTAAGACACTGTGTGTGTGGGTGTGTGAGACACTGTGTGTGTGTGTGAGACACTGTGTGGGTGTGTGTGGGTGTGTGTGGGTGGCACTGTGTGTGTGAGACACTGGGTGTGTGACACTGTGTGTGTGTGTGAGACACTGTGTGTGTGTGTGAGACACTGTGTGGGTGTGTGTGGGTGTGTGTGGGTGGCACTGTGTGTGTGAGACACTGGGTGTGTGTGTGAGACACTGGGTGTGTGACACTGTGTGTGTGTGACACTGGGTGTATGTGTGTGTGAGACACTGTGTGGGTGTGTGAGACACTGTGTGTGTGTGAGACACTGGGTGTGTGACACTGTGTGTGTGTGACACTGGGTGTATGTGTGTGTGAGACACTGTGTGGGTGTGTGAGACACTGTGTGTGTGTGAGACACTGTGTGGGTGTGTGTGTGTGTGAGACACTGTGTGGGTGTGTCAGACACTGGGTGTGTGTGTGTGAGACACTGGGTGTGTGGGTGGGGGTGTGTGTGTGAGACGGGAGCGGTAGTGTAGCAGGTAGCGCGCTGCACTGTGAATCCGGTGACACGAGTTCGATTCCCGCTCACGGCCAACACCAGTGACGATTATCTGTACCGGTCCTGGGCCTCCCCTAGGTCGACTCAACCTCAGATGAGTACATGGTGCGGTGTGTAGTCAATATCGCCGCGGGGGAGACAAACGCGGCCGGGCGTGGTGCTAGCCCACCCACCCCCTCGTGTGCCGTACCGGTCTTCATAGGTGCTGCTCGCTAACAGCACTTGCCCCTGCAGTCTGTGAAGGCTATATGGGGCATCTTTGTCTTTGTGTGTGCACGCGCGTGTTTACGGGACACTGAGTGTGTGAGTTTGTGCGGCACAATAAAGTGCGTATTCAAGTGTAAGCCATTGAGTGTGTGTGAGAGAGAGAGACACTGCCCTGTGAGTGTGTTTGAGACGTGTGTGTGTGTGCGACTCAACGAGTGTGTTCGTGTGTAAGAGGCCTTGAACGCGTGTGAAGTCTGGGAGAGTGGGCGCGCGTGTTTGTATCCGATACGAACCCGGCGACCGGAGTTGCTTTCCCGCTCACGGTCAATACCGCTCACGATTAGCTGAACCAGGTACCCAAATGTGGTGTACCCGATGCGATCTGTGAACATCGCCCATCTCGGGAGACAAAGGCGGTCGGGCAGCGTGGTTCTGACCATCGACTCCCTCGTGTGCCGTACCGCCCTTCACAGGTGCTCGCTAACAGCACTTGCCCCATCAGCAGCAGCAGCCTCTTGAAGGCTGACAAGGGCGATCTTTGTCTCTTGCACGAGACGTTGAGCAGTGCGGGAGACACTGTGAGTGTGTTTGGTGTACACACACACGCACACACACGCGCACAAATACACGCACACACGCACACACATACACGTACGCACACAGATACACACACGCACATACACGCACACACACACACCACACACGCACACACGCACATACACGAAGACACACACACATACACACACGCACACAGATACCCGCACACACACATGCACACACACGCACACACACATACATACACACACACATACACACGTGTGTGTGTGGTTATGGATGGATGAGACATTGAGTAGCGGGTTCACGCGCTGCGCTACGAACCCGGCCACCCGGTGTCGAGTCCCACTCCCCTAGGTCCACTCAGCCTTGAATGAGGACCCGGTGCTGTGCGTAACCATCAGCACCGGTGGAAGACAAAGGCGGCCGGGCCGGTTGCTGCGCTGGTGCCGGTCTTCAGAGGTGTTCGCTAACAGCACTTGCCCCACGGGTCCGTTAAGGCTAGACGGGTGATCTCTGTCTTTGTGTAGTGACAGGTCGCGTTCATTGTCCTAGACTGGATGATGTGTTTGAGGCGTGTTATTATTATTATATTGTTGTGTGTGTCTTTGTTTTTGTGTGCAGGGGTGGGGCATGGGGGAAGGGGGGGGCTATTCGGCCAGTCACTCGTGAGTGAAATTCCTTGCGTAACTCACTTCACTGATTCCACAGGCAACAGCGGCGTTTACCCTTGCACGTGTGGTGCGTGTCTGTGTGTTTGTCTTTGTGTGTGTGTTTGTCTTTGTGTGTGTATGTGTGTTTGTCTTTGTGTGTGTATGTGTGTTTGTCTTGTGTGTGTGTGTTTGTCTGTGTATGTTTGTCTTTGTCTGTGTGTTTGTCTTTGTGTGTGTGTATGTCTTTGTGTGTGTGTTTGTCTTTGTGTGTGTGTATGTATGTTTGTCTTTGTGTGTGTGTTTGTCTTTGTGTGTGTGTGTTTGTTTTTGTGTGTGTATGTTTG